AAACAACCAATAGAATCATGTTCTTTAAATCGGTGAGTTTATAGTGAATAATACAATAATTGAGGGGTGGAAATCCAAAACGTACTATTGCCAAAATACTGATTTTTCAGGAGAAGCGATTTTCTGTATTTTAATACATTTTCAATAAAAACAAACCAACTACAACCAGCCAAATCAATGTTAAAAAAAGTTTTTTTTTTTAATTATTTAATAATATAATTATTTATATTTAAAATGACTCAAATGTGTTAAATATTCTAGAGTTATATTTTTAATTTAATTTAAAACTTAATTAAAATTTTGAAAATTAAATTTTAGTACGTTTTGGAATAACAATTTTATTTCAATATATATAGGTATTATACGTACAACATGGGTAAAAGTACGTTTTGGTGGAATATAAAAAAAAAGTTCATTTTGGAATAAATAGTTCGTTTTGATGGTTTGTTCCTATCCTTTTAACATGGGCAATAGTACGTAATGGCGTAAAACTATATCGATATTTTTTTCATGAGAATCGATACCTAACTCGATTTCGTCAATTTTGGCAATAGTACGTTTTGGATTTCTACCCCTCCATTATGGTATTTGTGGTCTTAGTATGATTAACATTGTTTAACAATTGTAATAATTAATAAATATACTAATATACGAATATACTTACATATCATTATAGTATACTATAGGTACTATAACAGAGATGATCTCAACCTATCTAACCTTTTTATTATAAAAATATTTTAGATCAAATACTTGTATTTAGAAAATAACGATATTAAATTAAAAACTCAAAGCTTATATTATTTCCAAGTACAAGGTCAGCTAAGAATAACAAATACAAATTTATGTTATGTTGTCATTCACTCTAAATCATGGACTCACATATTGAATATCGAATATGATGAATTTTTTTTGAATAATAAAATGGAAAACCAGCTAAAATTGTAAGTACCTTTATATATCATAATAATAATTGTATATGAGTTAAGTAACAATTAAACAATTACATAAGTTTAAACTGCTTATAAAATAATTTTCTTAGGTTTTATTTAGATTGTCTTCTTCCGGAAATTATTGATTCCAAATTTGGAAAAAGATTGTTAAAATCAGATATATCTGAACCTAAAAGAATTCAAGATGAGCTGAATAAAAAAACGAAAAATAAATAAGTTTTGTTTACTATTTTGTACAATTTTTATAGTCATGTCCAGTGTAGGTAGGTACTTATACCATAGGTACACTCGTTATACTAAGTATAAAATATTTATATATATTTATAATATATAGGTATAGGTACCTAATAGAATAAAAATTAAGTTATTAAAAATTGGCATTGGTTATTTTTTTATAATATAATTTATGACATTTTTAAATGATTTAGTATTATTTAAACTGTTATTTATAATATTTTTCATTAAATTACCCTCCTAATACGCTCAACATTTTATTTTATTTCCACTATAGGTAATGACAATTTTTGAGAAACCTTACTTATTTATCAACAATAATTTTTAAAAAAACTAATAAAAATCGAAATATTCTAATGCCTATAAATAGCCCAAAAAGAGTCAAAATATATTATTGTTCAATTTTTATATTTTTACGTAGGTACGTAATTGAAGGGTCCGGTATACTCCGGTGCAACAACAGTAAACAAGGTATATATTTGGTGATTTTGACGAATATTTAAACACAACCAAAGGAATATTTATACTTTTACTTTTTTTATTTGATTACATAAATATTATATATTTTATTTAAATATAAATATATACCTAATATAATCAACTATACATTATAATATAATTGCATAATATACACTGTAGAGTGTAACCATAGGTACAATAATTACAGTTGATTATATTAGGAATAAATTTATAATAAAATAAAATATATAATAGGTATGTAAGTAAATAAAAAGACTATAAAGATGTTCCTTTGGTTGTGTTTAAATATTCGTCAAAATCAAATATTTGGCGTAAAATATTTTTAATGAGAAAAGTAAAAAAGTTTGTAGAACGATTTAAGCTATGGTAAAAAATATATTTTGTATGATAGGTATATACTATAATGGTGTATGCAATTAACTTTTAGCGTATGTTGTCATATTTTATATAGATACATGCAATGACATTTTCAAATGTAATTTTTTTGGAAAAATGAATTTAACGTACTGTAGTAAAAACTAATGCCTGTAATACAAAATTTAATTACTAAACTAATATTTAGATATTTCGGTTACTGTTATAAATTCTATATTATATTTACTGTATTAGTATTAGTGCATTCAGCATTGTATATATTTTGTATAGAGTAAGTATCTAAAAATGCAATAAATACAGGTCGGGTAAGTACGAGCGAATATTAAAAAAAATGTAAATGTACGTGAAACGTGTATGCATTTTATATTTACACTATGCGCCAAGGTTGAGAAAATAATGAACGTCGTTCCGAAAGAGCACAATCGTCGGCCAGTGTGGGCTTAATCGTCCGCGTGCTTGCGCATCGCAACAGCGCGTTCTCTCGGTCGTATTTACGTTTTACTTTATGTGTAGTGTAGCTCTTAAGATTATTTTTAACACTATAAATTATTAAAAAAAAAATAAATGTTGTGTTTACTAACGACGGCTGAAGTCAAGTGTAATCATTGGGGCACAATGGGGCACCTTTAACGTACATCACCCCAGGAATTTTTGCAAATGTATTTCATCTAGATATTTATAGTACCTAGGTATGTGATTTGTATGAATTTGAAAATGTATTTTCAAAATTTGTACGAAACTGGTTTTACCATTATTGCAAAAAAACAGTGGGTGGGGCCGGGGTGATGTGATTTCAGCCCCACCCATGTTTAAAAATTATATATTCATAGTTTTAACGTCATTATGTTTTAGTACGTCATTTGTATATGTATTTGTGCGATCACTCCGGAAAAATGTACTTCGACCCTTAGGCGGCATATCCTATTTATAAATTTATGGCATCCCCCCAGCCCCACCCATACTTGAAGCATTTAGTTTTTCTTCTTTTTTTTTACGCCAACTTTTAGTGCGTCGTTTGTATGTATTTGTACGATCACTTTACGATCACTTTACTAATACGACGTATTTTTTTTTTTTTAATGTACCTATTTAATACATTTAAAAGTTAAAATTTACAAGCACTTATTAATTTTGTTATTGTACAATTATTATATATTAAAATATATTCCTATAAATATGATATAATATATTACATTATGTAGATTGTAGGTATATGCAAGTTATACAAGTTATTTAAATAATTACAAGTTTAAGTTGATTAATGTAATTGTATTTATATAAAATGAAATAATATTTGAGGGACGTCCCAATTTTTCCCCAGGTAATGGGGCAAAACGGGAAAATTATACTTAAACCTACTTTGACCTTTAACACTATGAGACTTAACTGAATATTTAAAACATGCTAACATATTATTATATTAATAACCATATCCTAAATATTACACAGTTCAAGTTCCAAATCAAAAACACAATTTTTGAGTGAATTATAGCTTCTGATACCTTAAAGTCCCCGTTCTGCCCCACCTTCCCCTACTGATATTTTCATTTATAACCACTGGAAATAATAAAATAAGTGCCAAATAAATGTTTAATGGTTGACAGAGTGACCGAGCGCTCGTCGGTTCGAACTCGGTCACGGGAGGCATTTTTCTTTTGTTAGTCACGGTGTCCGGAGAGAGAGGCCGTCAATGCCCCCCCCCCCCCCAGGGCATGGCACATACCTACTGATGCCCACTCAAAAATTGTGCCAAAACAAACACACACGTAGGTATATGCCATGCCCAGGGGGGGATGTCGCCATGTCGGCCTCTCTCTCCGGACACCGTGACTGCGCCAGAAGAAAAATGCCGCCCGTGACCGAGTTCGAACCGGTGACGGTGCGCGCTGCAACTGACGCCTTAGTCCGCTCAGCCACTCCGTCCCCCAATTAAAAATTTATTTGCCACTTATTTTATTATATCCAGTGGTTATAAATGAAAATTGCATTAAACGCATATTATGCATAAATCCAATTTTTGACTTACTCTAACTTGATCAGTTTTGAAAATAGAAAAAAACTTTTTAAACAATAAATGTTAAAAAAAATACTCTACCAGAATCTGTAGAAAAAAACAATGGTTGCCGTTTAAAAAAAAACAAGTCGTATTGCGCATGTGAGTGAGCTAAAAATTTTAAACTGGTCTGAAAATATGTATTTAAGTGCTCCCTATCACCTCCCGAAAACCACATTTCAATAAAAAGACACCCATCTAAGATATTCAGTGGTACCTAATATCGTGATCACACTGTATATAGGTACTTTAAAACTCACAATAGGACAACAGTAGTACAGACTATACAGAGTAGACAAAGTACAGAGTGAATACAAAATAAGTCTATATAGGAATAGGACATAGGTACTCTATACTTCTACAGCGCAATTATTGGGGCATCATTAATCACTATTAATAATAATAATTATTATTATTATTATTACACTAGGTATTTGCTATTGGCAATTCAATTTAAAAGTTATCAATAACTCCAAAAAAATGAAAGTAGGTACCTAATGTCCCGGATACGGAATACAATATAATCAATTCTTAGATTTTTTTCCAAGACAAAAATAAATAGCATGAAATAAAATATATTTCTACGGCACCAATATACCTTACTTTTAAATAAACGGATTTTAAATTTTCAAATAATTTTGTTATTTTTTGTTTAATGATAATATATTATACATATATTTTGTTATTCGTTATGCTTTTTTTTGCAGTATTTAATTATTTTTGATTATCGCTTTCCGTTATAATTACGTTTACAAATTTCAATCGTTATTTGTCAAATATAACGTTATTTTAACGTTTGCAAGCCCTGGTATATATACAATAAAATGTGTCACTATAATATTGTAGTAGTGTATAATATATTATATCGATGACCACATATTAGTCAAGATTAAAAAAATACTTACCATTGAATATAACACTTTTTTCTAATTTTAATAATGCAATATCATTTATGTATGATTGTTTTTCGTTATATTGTTCATGTACCATGATTTGTGAAATTGGAATATCTATTGGTTCAGATCCATCAGTTACATTAGGATCTAAGTTCAAATCGCCTAAACGCACAGTGACCCTGAAAAACTCAATAATGTGAATCTACGATATTTAATAGGTATATTAAGGTAAATAAATATAAAATAAATAACACAATAAAATGTCTTAATATTAAACATATATTGAAATTTAATGTTATCAACAATTAATTTGATAAACAATAACTAAAAACACAAAAATAAAAATGTTTACGGGGGTGGGGGGGGGGTTCAAACCCTGACCAGGATCAAAAATAAAAAAATTTTGATATTATTGATGAATTTCTTATTATTAACACAAACATACGTTATAATAGTATGACTATCGAGTAAACACTATACTTACGAAAAAATATTTCATAACGAAATTATGGGTGCCGTATATCAATCAAAATAGACCTTTGATTTTACACAGTCAGTTAGTTGCGTGAGGACATAAATACATATTCATTTTGTCATTATCTTGACCGACTCGATCAGACAACGGAGAAAAAATCGATTACGTTATAATCGTTGAATTTCCAGTGAAATGATTCTATTTTTATACCTAGCACTATCTTAAATGACCATGGTTAAATATTTAATTACGTTCATTCTGTTATGTTCTGCCGTTGGAGAAGTTTATGTCAAAAACTATTCATTGAACTCCATATAAAGTTTATAAACCATAGGTAAGTATTTAGAAAATATTAATTAGAATTTACATCATTAAAATTGTTTATTAACAAAACATTAAAGTTTAAAATATTAAAATGAATTATAAATACACATGACTGGGAGAGTTAATGATTTTTTTTTTTAACTCAGTTAAGTTAATATGCTTGCACATATAGTATATATTGTATTTTTAAGTACAGAATGAAGTAAAGTGCTGGTTGAACTATCCAATAAAAAATGGAGACTAGAATTTTAATTATAAATAATTAATAATATAATATATATAATATTCTGTACTTATACTATGTGCATATTAAATAGTACCTATTTAACTGCCATGAGTTATGTAAACCTTTGTATTTGTTTGTTATTTTGCCTATTAATGTTTATACGTGTAATGTGTTTGATTGTTAGGAAAATGGGTAGTTTTAAAGAGAAGGTTTTTGTGTTGGTTATTTTTTTTTTGAACCTCCCCCGAGCAAATTTGAATGTACCGTATCCAAGATATAATTTATAAAACTAATTTCAAGAAATTCGGTTATAAGACAAACGGGTGTTTCAAGAACAATGCACCAGTGTGTATCAAAGATATGTTTTGGCAAAACTGTTGTGTCAAAACTGACACCCAAGGCCCAAAAGCGAGACTTAGTTGATTCTCCACCGTTCACGGGCCCGGTAGGAACAAAAAATGGAATGTTTTGTTTACAACACATTTTGATATAATGACAATAAATTCAGGGCCGGATTTAAACATTATGGGGCCCAGTGCAAAAATATTTTGGGGCCCTAAATGATCCATAACAAAAATTGCATACCTACCTAAACTTATTTCATGCGTAAAATATATTTATAGACTATAGCAGGGGTGGCCAACATGACTATGTACGTGAGCCACATGTATTAACAAAATTGTATCAAGATCCAAATTATCTAATGTGTACTTCTATACCACAAAAGTAATAAAGATATATTGGAATTTTGGAAGCATATTCCTATATTAAAATACCCAAATATTAAAAACTGTGCGGTAAAATTTATATCAATTTTTGGAACGACGTATTCATGTGAATCAACAATGAAAACAATGAAAATAAAAATAATTAAGTCAAAATATCGTTCAAATTTGACTGATGATCATCTTACAGAATTACTAAGAATTGCTCTTACATCAATTCAACCAGATCTTAAGAAGCTTACTAAAAAAGCAGACACAAAAAAAGTACCACGCAAACAAAATTAGCTTAATGTTTAATTTTTTAATTTATTATTCATATTAATTAATTTTTTTTTTGTTTGATTTAATCTATATTATATACACTATAATACTATAGCCTTAAATAAATACAATAAAAACATTTTTTTTATAAATGTATACAAAAAAAAAATTAAAATATTTTGGTTTTTGTAAATAAGACCGCGAGCCGCATACGACTGTGACGAGAGCCGCATGCGGCTCGCGAGCCGTGATTTGGCCACCCCTGGACTATAGTTACAACTAAAAATAAATAAATTGAACAAGTCATACAGTAATATATTATTTATTTTATTAATAAAAAAATATAATCTATGGCTAAAATGTATTTAATTAAATATATATATATATTAATAAACTGTACCAAAAATTTGTATTTATATTTTTAATAAAGAAAATAGTCAATTAAAAGTTAAGATTATTATTACAGTCATTAACCTATTATGTTTACATAGAAAATAGAATATTATAAATTGCATACTTTTCTTGATTTCTTTTCTGCAAAGTCATCTATAATATCATCAAATGACAGATTATCCAACACATCACTTTCAATGCTCATAACTGATAAAAAGTTCAAACGATCTTCATTCATTGTAGTTCGTAATCTATTTTTTATAATTTTCAATCTTGAAAGCGTGCGTGACTTGTGACTGTGTGCGTAGTAAATGATTATTAGTATGTGTACGTGTCTCGCACTACACGTCTTCACCCTGTAATACTCGCTTTACTTCTTATCTGCTAATTGACAAATAACTACATCAATGTATAGTAATACATAATAATAATCATTGCATATAAAATAACAATACGCACATAATGTATATTCATTTATTAAATATTTCTGAAAACTGATTTGAATCCGTTATTATGTATGTCTACTAGAGATCGGTCAGTCAACATTTTAAAAATTCTGAATTCCGAATAATTAATATTCAAATTCAGAAATTTCAAAATATTCAAATTAAATTATAGTTGTTGTTGGGGGAGGTGGTAAAATTGGGAAAAGTGGACTGACCGTTCTCAATTAGATATAATAACGAATTCAAATCAGTTTTCAGAAATATTTTTGCATTATTAGGTCGATCGGTAGAATGGTCAAAAGATAGGTATGTTTTGACTAAAATAACTGCACGTCACCGATCCCCTTAATATCCATTCTCTAATTATTATAATAAATTTATAAATATAAATTTATATATAAATATTTTCTACTTCGTATAGATTATTAAAATTATTTAATTTTAAATTTATTATAAATATTACTTACTTAAACAATTGAACAGTACAGACTCATGAGTATTCTTGGCTGATCATAATGAAGTAGGTAACGAGATTTAGTCGAAAAGTGGAATGTACAAAGTAATAAATAATTCACAATAAAGGCATAAACGCTATAAACAGCGATAAGCCGATAACGATTATAGACGTCTTGAATTTTCCAACATTTTACATTGTGATTTGTGACAGATTACATTATGATTTTTATATATACTCGTATAAACATACACATGTAATTATATAACCCGCAACTTTACGTCACCGTGATAATGCAATAACAACAACTGTAGTATACTACAGTCATTACCCCATAATGTTTAAATCCGGCCCTGTACTGTAGTACAATTTAATTTATATTTTATACCTAATTCATTTTTATTTTCAAAACTATATTTTTTTTAAAAATATAGTTTGAGAACTAAAAATTTGGGTTCCAAATTGCAATTTTATTTTTTTAATTTTTTAATTTTTTTTTTTTTCATTTCTGATTCGAGTCTCGGGGGCCCCTAAAACTTAAGGGCCCGGGGCATATGCCCTTAATGCCCCCCGTCAAATCCGGCCCTGAATATATTAATGAATACATCAACCTATGGTTTACAATAATATTAATACATTGTTATATTAAATGAAGGTACCGTAATTGTTAACATAAATATATAGTCTTAAGACTACTAGATACACTTTATGAACAAAGGGGTCATAATTAGATATTCTAGCATTTCAAAGGCTAGAGAAAAAAGTGACCCCCCCCCCAATTTTTTCTGGCTAGGGCACTACTAAGGGGCAAACACGGATCGGCAGCAAAGGTCGTGATTTTCGATGGTGTCGTTCTAAACTCTGGTCATAATATAATCGATTAGTTTTAATAATATATACCTACATAATATTCTTTACTTAAAATTGAGTTTAAAACAATAATGACATAATATGATAATCATTAGGTAGGTATGTCAAAATATTGTAAATAAAAAGAAAGAATTTTAAACTGATTTTTGGATTTAATGAACATATTAATATTATATAAGTACCTATACTTACAATATTTGTTTTGAAGAATTGACGGTGCAGTGGGCAGCTGTTAAAACGTATCTGTCTGATATCAAGGCCCCGCCACAATTCCACAAATAATATGGACTTAACAAACCCAATTTTATTTTTGGAAATCGATACCCAAGGGCTACCACCCAGGGCCAAGCACCTACAAAGAAGGAAAAATCAATAATTGTAATTATAATTGAATAAAACTGTATATACGTACAGGTGGTTTAAAACTAAAAAAAAATAATCGCGCAAACAAATTACAATTTAATTTTTTCCAAACATTTACCTACCCAGTTCACTTGGCATTCCTCCAAGAATTCGAATTTCACTAGTATTAGTCCGACCACAAGTTTCTTGTGAAGGCAATTTAATCGACGAAACTGTTTCGTAAACTGTTGGCCCTGATGAATAATTTTTTGGGATAAACCAAAATATAAAATATACAATTATATAGGTGCCTAATAAATAACATTATTATGAAGGTAAAAAAAAAACTAACCATTATTATTGGATTGTGCAGAGAATACAGTCTGGAACACGAATACCATACAAATAATAAATGTTGTTTTGCCCATGTTCAATTTAGAAGACGTTTACTAGTCGTATAGGTACCTAAATAAAAAAAACTTTTTGAAATTTTAGTGACAAAAAAAAAAATGACCCCGACGTGATTTGAACACGCAACCTTCTGATCTGGAGTCAGACGCGCTACCGTTGCGCCACGAGGTCTCATATTTAGGGTGAGCAAATTTAAATATTTAAATTAAATCATTTTTCATAATAATAATATTATAAATAATAATAATTGTTATTATTTATAACATATTATGTTAATTACAAATTAATTATAATTTACAAATAATAATAGGGCATATCATAAAAATAATTATCTAATCATGCGTTGATTGGTAAAGTTAAAATAAAAATAAAATTCTACAATTAAAAATATTCACATGTAATATCCTCCGACAGTTATACCACCCATCAGTGTCCCAGTAGGTATAATAGGTATACCATTATGAAATATTAAAAAAGTTATAATATTGTAAAACCGAGTATGATGTCGACCTCTGACGTACACATTTCCCCCACTTCACGCAACCAAAATTAAAATCGAAAATCAATACTTGGTGAATTATAATAAAATATAAAATCAAACGAGTTGGGTATCTGAATAAAAAACAATATTCTGGGTTTGAGTATATTAATTTACGTTTTCTAATATAATTTTCTCGACCTACACCATTTATTGTAAATTGTAATTGACAGAGTAATAAAATATGTCGATTGAGAGGACGTCACAACGTGTGTGAAGACGTCACACCCGCTTATTATGTTGTATCCGTCTTACACACGTACGGCAAAGCAAAAACAGTTTTGGCTAGGGAAAGAACCAAGAAGGCTACAGTCATAAGTCATAACTGAGAAACGACATTTTCATCACTTAAAAAAGAAGATCTTTTGCTATGCAATATCTTTTTATTTTTTCGATGTCAGAACATCAAAAAAAGTTATAAGAGTTTGAAAAACACAAATAATAATGGATTTTGAAACAATAATAACTTTTTTCGTATAACTGATATTGAAAAAATTAAAACGATATTGCACAGCCAAAGTTCTTCTATTTATGTGGTGAAAATTTTGTTTCTTAGTCATGACCAGGGCTCGGGACTTATAACACTTAAAATCATAAATATAAGTGCTTAAAAACATCATTATATGCACTAAAATAAACATTTAAAAAAAAGGTGGGCAAGTGGGTGTCGCTCAGCTGTACAGTAGGTTACAAGTGGGTCACTGTATAATGGATGATATTAAATTTGAATTCAACGATATAATATCATTGTATAAGAAAAACGATTCTGAGCGGAGACGGTATGTCAGTCTATATATAAGACATATTATATACATATCTATGGTATTAAACAAATAATTGACCTATAATAGGCTTTTTTAAGTTGCTTAATTTTTTTAATGACAACGCAGTCGGTTTTAATTTCAATACCAAATGAGAATATATTTTAAGTACTTCGATATATAAAACGTGCATAGTTGGGTGTCATTCTGCTGTACAGAAGGTCACAAGTGGGACACTGTAATGGAAGATGCTAAATCTGAATTCAATGATATAATAATATC